CAGCTTCCCTGAGGGGCACCGGGGGTCAGCAGGCAGGAAGGCAGGGGTCAGGGGAGAGGTGTGCGTGGCTGCCAAGAGCGAGGATGATTTCTCTGAGACGGGATGAAGGGACCAGGAGTTTCCCAGTGGCAGAGAGGCCAGTGGGAGGGAGGCCCTTGTGGAGGAGAGGGTCGTGTGGGTGCGTGTGTGCGTCTGGGTGCTGGGCGTGCAGGGACGGAGCAGGCTGCCGGCCTGACACTCTCTCCCGGGGGCCCACACCTCCGCAGGCCTCGGATTCCTTCGCTAATTCACCTGGCCTCCCCGTGTCCCACACGGGCCCCAGCGCGGAAGAGCTGGGTGGGGAGCAGGGGCTTGGTGCTCACCCCGTCCCTGGCAGCTCACTGATGCCCACTGGAGCCTGTGTCTGTGGCTTCTCACCGGCACGTATTTCCTCCCCAGCCCGAATCTGCGAATGTCCTTCATCACCTTCTCTACAAAAGCTGAAGTCAACATCTGGCTCACGCCAGACAGGCAAGTGCTAGTGTGAACCCCCAGGGGAATCCTGGTGGGCTGGGCCATGGGGAGCTCCAGGGAGCTGACGGGTTCCCCAAGACTACAGGGGGGATCCTGCCAGTGCACAGGGTGGGCCATATAGAGCGCCCCTCAGTGTGTACCCTGCACCTAGCCCCGGCTCCCCCGTGCCCTCTGACCCCTGGCTGCACTGGCCCTGCTGAGTCCTGTGACCCAGAGTTCTCGGCCTCCCGCCCTCTGTCCCTGCCCTCACTCTGTCCTGCCTCCTCTCCTGGGAGGTGGCTGTGAGGATCCTGGGCCCAGGGGGCTGGTGTGTGTGGGTCCTGGTGGACACGGCCTGTGCTGGGCACTGCTCTGTGTCTGTCCCTCTCTGCCCTGGCCAGTGGGGACAGGAGACAGGGTCTGAGCCCAGGGCAGTGCTGGGGAATTTAGTGCAGGGGAGCTTGGTCCTGGGTGGGTCCCAGACAGGGGAGCCCGTGGGTGGGTCCAGAGCCCCAGGCCAGGCTGGGGTGCTAGAGGGAGGCAGGACAAGCACGTGTCCAGGGGGCTGGAGGGTCCCAGTGGGGGACCCTGGCCTGGGGGTGGGTGTCCTGAGGGTTCCAGATGGGCTGGGAGGTGAAGGATCCCTTGGCATGCCGACACGCGGAGCTGGGTGCAGAGTGGGTGCAGCGCGGAAGGGAGGAGAGCACGCTGGGCACTGGATGGGTGCCTGGGCCCCTCGGGCAGCTTCGAGCGGAGTAGGGAGGTGGGGCTGCTCTGCAGGCTGGGCGAGGCTCGCAGGGTGTGTCCTGTGCTGTGGGTTTGGGAGAGAGACCTGAGTGGGCCTGAGGGGGAAGAGTCAAGGACGTGGGGAGGGCCCTGGCGGGTGGCCAGAACAGCAGTGGGAGCTGGGCTGGGCAGAGCCCAGTGTGGCCTCCCCCGGGCATGGCAGGGCCCGGCCTCCTCCCCTGGGCTGGGCGGGGCAGGGCTCGCAGAGCTGCCCCCTTGGCCGGTCTCTGCCTGCAGCATGGGGCAGGCCCTCAGGGTCCACGCTCTGCTCAGCCTTGCTGTGCTGGCTCAGCCCGTCACATTGCATTAGCCTGACCCTGGGACCCCTTGCCTGTCCCAGTCCTGCCACCAGAACCAGCCCTGCCTGCACCGCCCCGTCCTGTCGGCTCTAACAGCGGCTGACAGGCCTCATCCCAGAGCCCGCCTGGGATCAGCTCGGCTGCTGCACGCACAGCCTTCAGGGCGCTCTCGCAGCCTCTGCTCTTTCTGTGTCAGAAGCACAGGCAGCCAAGGGGCCTGAGGGCTCTGAGTAAGATTTGCTGCTTCCTTGGCAGATGAAGCGGAGGGGAAGATGGAGTCAGGCCAGGTGTGTGAGGCCGTGGGGGATGGGTGCAGGTGACCTTTCCCATGCTCAGCCTTTTCAAGTGAAAGCTACGTGGCCAACTGAGGGGGCCCTGGGGTCGGGGTTAGGTTAGAGTGGGGGTTAGAGTGGCCGGCCCCATTGCCAGGCCCTGACGGGCAGTTGCACATCTCTGGGTTAGGGTTAGGGTTAGGGTTGGGGTTAGGGTTTGGGTCAGGGTTCGGAAAGCTGGTCCCTTGGGAGGGCCTGGCTGGCAGCTGCACGTCCCCGGGAAGCTCTGACACTCACCGTGGATGGTCCAATCAGGGCCCTTGGTGATGTCCCGGAGGCCTGAGTGCTTTGAGACAGGGAGGAGCTTAGGAGGCCATGAAATCTGCTGTCCAAGTCACAGCCACAGTACTTGCCTGGTCCAATACCCTGTCCAACTGGGTCTGCACAGTGGACAATGGCTCTGGCATAGGTTGGGAGCTGGTTTTCAGCAGTCAACTCTGTCTACTTCAACCTCCCTTTGTTAAATTTTTTTTTCAGAGAAGAAATAAGGAAAGGTCTTGAAAAACTTGAGAAGGTGGTTCCTGAAGGACATACATTCATGCAAGAAGGATTTAAAAAGGTATAATCCTGTAGACCTCAGAGAGTCTACTCCAGTTTCCAAGGTCTTACCGTTACTGGATTCACCTCACCGTCCATCCCCATATTTCTTCATTTCCTTGCAGGCAAATCAGCAGATTGAACAAGCCATCTCTGACGGTGAGTGCCTGCTGCCTGCGTGGCGGTCAGGTACGGGGGACAGACCAGGGCCTCATGGAGGTCTCCGTGCAGACCCCTGTGGCTGGTGGAGCACGTGGTGCCCCTGCTCTGAGCTCCGGGCTCCTCCCTGTGCAGAGTGTGGCCAGCCCAGAGTGCCCTGAGAACTCCCGAGATCACACGTGTGTCCCTTCCCGGTTCTTAGTGAGTAGGCGGTGTGGCCCTGCAGCTGGGCGGGGGAGAAGGAAAGGAGGAAGCCAGGGGCCCTGAGAGAACAGCGTTTTCCCTCGCTGGCACCTTTGTCCTTCTCCCATCCAGCGTCCCCTCCGGCTGACTTGCATCCCACGACTGTGTCTCAGATGGTGCAAAAGGCCGCGCAGGGCGCAGCCGACCCCTGTCTCTGGTGGGGAAGGTGTCGGGGCCCTGCCCGGTGCGGCTGACCCGGAGTCCTGACCCATGGGGCCCAGCGCTGCCAGCAGGAGGCCCGCAGGCTCTGCCGGAGCAGGACCCGGCCCCACACAGGCCCCTGAGCCTGCTTTTCATGGGAGGGTCTGGCTGACCTCCTCCGCTCACGGCCCGGGCTTGTGCTTGTGGGGTCGTGGCCGGAGCTGCCCTTCAGGCAGAGGGGTATGGTGTGGCAGATGGGAGAGGTCAGGCAGCCTGCTGGGAAGGCTCTGAACCACCTCTGTCCCCATCTGTAAAATGGGTCCTGGGCCGAAGCCCTTGTCACTCTGGGAGTCTCTGGGTGGCGGGTGCTCGGGTCTGGGCAGCCTCTCCCCAGGAGGATGTGGTGCGGGGGGCACCCGGCCATGTCCTGAAGTGTCAGTGCTGTGGCCCTGGCAGCCTGGGGCAGTCCCGGAGCTTCTGGAGGTCACCCTGGTGCCTTTGCCGACCAGGCCACTGCTTGCCTCCCCTGCAGCCGACAAGGTTCCCAACATGGTTATCGCTATGACTGATGGGACGCTGGTGCCAAATGCATTTCAGATGACCTTGGAGCAAGTGAGTGCAGTCCATCATCACTGGCATTTGCTCTCCATATTTGGTGATTTATACTCAGTGATTTCTTCCTCTTAGGCTGACAAGGCTCGGAAGCTGGGGGCGTACATTTACACTGTGGGTGTGGCCGATTATAGCAAACAGCAGGTAATTGAGAGCAGGTAACCTCATGTCAGTCTTGAGCCCTGTTGGGGAAACCTGTCATAGGCAGCTTTCTCAGGGTCACCACAAAGATGTTGTTGTAATCCTTCCCAAGGGATTTGGGCAACGATGGCCACTGCAGAACTGACTAGCAACATGTTTTGTTCATCCTCCCTCAACGAGGGGAGGGTGAAAAGCCCTGCACTCCCTGAGAGAGTGCTGGCAGAGCCAGGGGCTGGCCTTCAGAGTCTACCAACCTACTGTCCCTAGGGCATGAGGACAAGACACTGTCTCCTGGGCCTGGGGACCTGCAGCATCCTCAGCCCTGGCGGCAGGTCCAAGCCCCCTCCTCTCTCTGTAGATAAGAGACATTGCAGACAGTGAAGCCCACGTGTTTGCAGTGGACAATGGCTTCAAAGGCCTGAGATCCATCGTTATCCCGGTGAGGGGGACTACTGGGAGTTGGGGGCGGCCGGGCACCAGTGCCCCGAGCCTCACGCCTCCTCACTGGTCCACCCCTCCCTCTGTTCCAGCTCGCTAAAAAGATCTGTACTCAAGTCACATCTGTGGTGCCTTCCACTCTGTGTGCAGGAGGTAAGAGCTCTGGAGTCATGGCTGTGGGCTGACAGGTGTGTGTGTCTTTGCATGCTGTGTGTACGGGTTGTGTGTATTTGTGTGGTGTGGTTGGAGGGAGGGTATACATGGGGAGAGTGTGAGAGTGTCGTGTGTGCGGTAGGTGTGCTGTGTATGTGGATGCAGCACGTGTGGTGTGTGTGTGTGTGCATGTGGTGTGTGCGTGTGTGCATGTGCAACATATAAACAGACAAGAGCAACAGGGCCCATCCCAGAAGCCCAGGCTGCTGCAGGACCTGGGACGTCTCTGTCACTCACCACATCAACGATATGGGGAGGGAAGCCAGGCGCTTGTCTCAGTGGGTGAAGAAAAGGGGTCGGGCACAGTCCAACGTCCACATCACACTAGGAACAGGAGGGGACCTGCACGGCCTGACAAAGGCGTCACACAGGCACCAGGGCTCACAGCCCCCAGTGGTTACACCAGCGCCTGTCCCTGAGGTCAGGAAAGTGACAAGGACACCCTCTCCCCAGCTGAGGCCCCGCACCAGTGTGGGGAGGACGTCCTGTGTGGTGTGAGGTGGCGACATCCTGTGTACTGAGCTCTGTGGGTGCAGGTGGGGTCCCCCACTGCGGGCGTTTGTACGACCGCGGCTGCCCTGGGTGTCCTTCCTCCGCGGGGACGGCGCTCAGCTGGGTGCCTCTGGGTCCAGACCAGCCGCAGGCTGTGGCCTCCGTGTTCCTAACTGGAAGGCGCCCATGCACTAGGCTGTGGGGACAGACGCCCCATGCTCAAGTGCGAGCTCTGCACCCGTGGGCACGCAACCTGGAGCAAATGTCAGACGTCTGCCAGCTCCAGCAGAGCCTCTTGTGAGCAGAGATGCTGCCGCCAGGCGTGCCGTGAGATGTACGGGCCGTGGGCTGTGCAGAGGCTGGCACGGGACTGGCAGCTGGTTGGGCCCGAGAAGCGGTAGCTGGTGCTGAGATTTCCCTCACTGCTCCTGGGCTCTGGTCCCTGTCCCTGTGCCGTGCAAGGGGTGGGGGTAGGGCAGGGGCTGCCCTGCTGGCGGATAGAGAGAGCCCCTGCCCCGAAGGGTCTCTTCCTGCTGCTCTTGCTATAAAGCAGCCTGGCGGTGCAGCCGGCCTTACCGCTGCAGCTCCTCACGTCCTCTGGACACGCACAGCCGTGGTGTTGGAGCAGTCCTGTCAAGGCCCAGGTGAGGATGTGAGTTGTCACTCCTCCCTCCCAGCAGCTGAGTCGAGGTGGCAGGTGCCCTCTGCCCACCAGCTCAGCACACCGCCTCTGCCTGCGTGGCCAGCGGTCCCAGCCCTGACCTGTCAACTGATTTATGCAAAGCTGCCCCACACAGGGGGACAGTCCCGTGGAGGGAAAGCCCAAGGCAGCATCCTGACCCCACATGAAGTAGAACAAGCCATTGCACCAGGGGGGGCCCTGAGAACCGAGGAGTGTGCCGGGGAGCCTAGGAAGGGAGGCCAGGGGAGGGCAGGCCGTCCCAGCTCCAGCACTCAGCCTCTGGGCCTCGCACCCAGCGTGGCAGAGGCCTCCGCTGGCCTCCCTGCCTCAGGCCTGGCCTCCATCCCAGCCTCCGCACAGGGCCCGAGGCTCTGAGCTGACCACTTCCCTCACCCCAGCCTGGCTGGCGTGTCTGAGGCCGCTTGGCAGGGCCACCAGGCCCTCTGGGGTCCAGTCAGTGTTCTGGGTCCCCGCTGTGCAGAGGCGGGGCTGAGGGGTCCCAGGCTTTCTGCAAGCCCTTGCTCAGCTTAGGGGCTGAGCCCACCGGTCCCTTGAGGCCCCCCTCACAGGACACCTCAGCCTGGAAACTTTCCCTGCCTGACAGCCCCTCTGACTTCCTGCAGCCCTTAGTGTGGGTCTGACCCTCTCATATGTTGAGGCTCCCACGTGGCTGAGGCCCCTCCAAGGGCAGGGTCCAGGCTATCGGGTGGGTGCCCATGGAGCCAGGCAGGCACCATGAGCAAGACGAAGGCGAGGCCCAGCCAGGACAGTGTCAGCTGTCCTTGTGGGCCCTTGGGGTGAAGGTGGCTCTGGGAGCTCCCCCATCTGAGGAGGGCTGTGCCCCTGAGCCCCAACCAGTGGTTGGGGAGGAGGAACACAAACCCACAGATGCCTGCTGTTCCCATTTTCCAAAAGAGCTAGAAATCTGCATTGTTAGGGAAAATGTTCCAGCTTTCAATGTGCATTCCCGTTTCTGAAGACATCTGAAAGCCTGACAGAGCACGTCAGCAGGCCAGCTCTGCCCATGGCCAGAGGCTTTGCACTCTGCCTGTCAGGCATGGTGCTGCAGCAAGACTGGACGCAGGGGCCAGAGGAAGTGCTCCTCGGGGAGCATCTGAGGTGCCTCAGGCCCCATCGGGGATGGAAATGAGCGGGCAGAGGCCAGTGCGCTGGAGCAACCTGGAGTCCTGCGGGAGCCTGGACGGGCTCCTGGGCCAGTCCTCTCACTGCCTCCCTGTTTCCCTGTGGGACTTGCCTCAGCGACAGGAGCCCCGCTGGGGAAGTGCTCGCTGAACCCCAGGGTGGTGGGGTGCGGTGCGGCGGCCGGGAAGAGGCAGGGGATGAGGAACCACCTGTAGTTCTCTGGAACCGCAGCTAAGACAGCGCCTGTTCTGCGATGGGTTCTCCTGAACAGCGCCCTGGGGGCCTCGCCTGCCACACCTGAGTCCTGGCCCTGCTCCTGGGGTCTCCAGCCTGCCACAGGCACACAGAAAGACAGAAGGATGGACCCCCACATGTACAGCAGCCCAGCAGACATTAGGCCCGGGCGCCCAGCTCAGGCAGGAGACAGGGTGTCTTCAGCGGCCTGGTCCTAGCTCCTCTGATGCCTTACAAGAGGGAGGGCCTGGCCTGCTGCCCTCTGGCCTGAGGGTGCCCCGCGGGACCCCAGGGTGGGGAAGCCCGGCTGAGTTGGCCCCTGTGCAGGTGCCTTTCACGGGCTCCTTGGGCCAGGGACGGTGGGGAGAGGGCCTCCTCATGGACCCTCCATGACCCCAGCTGAGGGCTTGGCCTGGTGCACACAGATGTTGGTGGAGACACAGCTTCTTCCTTGTAGGAGCCCCTGGCGATGCGGTCTTGGGTGGACTGCCAGGAAGGGCGAGCTGGGAGTGCGCGCAGCCCTCCACTCTTCCTCACTCAGACCTCCGACTGTTGCCCCTGCAGAATCCTACCACGTGGTTGTTCATGGACATGGCTTTCTGAATACAAAGGGGAAGGACCAAGTTATTTGCCGATTCAAGTTTAAAGGCAAAGTTGTTGGTAAGTTTTCCCCTTGGTACCTCTGAGTCACACATTTCCCACACGACACCGCCTTTCCCCACAGCCAGCCAAGCCTCCAGCGCTTGGTGCCGGTTCCCTGTGGACACTGTGCGGTGACAGCAGTGAGGACAGGTGGAAGGAGGACCTGGCTCAAGGCCCGGCCACCTCTCCCTTCATCTCAGAGTGGGGGAGGAGTAAATCCCCCAGGGCCACAAGAGCAGGCTGGGCTGGGGGCGGGGTCTGCCTCACAGCTGCACCTGCCCACCCTGTGCCCAGCTCTCCCTTCCCTCGAGCGCTGAGGCCCCCAAGCCTGTGTGTCTGCTCCTGCGAAGTGGCGGCAGCCCGGGATCCGGGCCTGGCCAGGTGCACCAGTAGCTTGCTAGGGACAGGGTATTTGCCGTGGATTGAGAGAGGATGCCCGCCGCCAGGCCTGGGCCCTGGAACCCTGGCTCAGGCACACGTTGTGTGTGTCACCTCGACCAGAGGAGCGTTCTGTTCTGAGCCTCTGTTTTCTCTAGTGTGAAACGGAGCCAGTACGGTGGTTGCAGTAGGCACCGTTGCAGGTGTCGAGCAGGGGCTTAATACTTTTTAAAAAGTCTTCCGTTATTTGGCATCTGTCAGGCAGGAGGGGTGCTTCTACCACAGGGGAGTGGCCTGAGGAAGCACA